GGGTGAAAGTGTGTGTGCGTGTGTTTGTGTGTGTGCGCGCGTGTGTGTGTGGGTTTGTGTGTGTGTGTGTGTTTGTGTGTGCGCGTGTGTGTGTGTGTGTGCTCTCGCGCAGGGTTGACTGATGGCTGATGAACAGCAGATGAGATTCCTCGGGGTCCAAATTCCCAGCAGACTTTGCTTCCTGTGTCCTCCCACCCTGCACAGATCGGTTGTCTACTGTGGGAAAGCGGCTTCAAATTGTGCCGGGGGGCGCGCGCGCACACACACACACACACACACACACACACACACACACACACACACACTTACACGTACACGCACCCACGTAGACTTGCATACTCCGCTTTCTTCAGGTAACAGAATCTTTCCCACCTAATGTGTTTTACTGGAGCGCCTCGATGAGGACATACCACCTCATGACATCAGCACGAGAACATCTGATAAGGCCTCTGATGTGCAGATTGTGCCCCCCCCCACCCCCCCCCCAGTTGCCTTTTAAGGGCCCGATTGGAAAAGATTACACACTTCCGACTTTTTATGGCGTTAAGCTGAATGTGAGGAGTGGGGGCGCGGGTGGCAAGCGGGGACGAAGCGTCATCGGCGTGAGTTGTTCAATGCGCGAGCCGAACACATGCCCCTTGTCAATGTAAACACTGTAAAAGTCTCGCGTGTATATCTTGTTAATGGGCAGGCAAACACCTGGAGAGTCGGGTACAACTTGTCACCACGCGCCAAGCGCTTTTAAGGTCTTGAGGGTGTCATCACTCAAGTTGGCAATCAAAGCACAGCGAATGCACAGGAATTGGGGACTGTACCAATGAAGCAGAAAAGAACGTAACGTCACTAAATGTAACATCGCTTATGTAACACCATGATGTAATTTAACGTACTTAACATCATTTAATGTGATGTAAAAAATAAAATAACATTTCAACTGAACGGAACCTAACTTATGTAACGTCACATACATACCATATCATAAACTACAAACCGTAAGTAGCGTGTAGTAGAAGATGGCAAATTGTAACACGACTAAATGTAACGTGACTTCATGTCTTGACGCAACGTAACAACGTCATGTAACTTAACGAATGCAGCAATTTGATGTCGCGTAAGGTAATGTGTTGCCATGACGTAATGGTAATGTAACTCAAAGTCAGTAACGTGCTGTCACGCAATTTGTAACAATTGTGTGAAAACAAATGTTCTTTTGGGCGAAATTAGATAAACCTGTCAGGGCTTCTGACTCAAAGCCATACGTCAATCATACGCTCGTTTCTCGAACGTGCACTGTATTACACAATATGTACCCCAGTTTGTTGCTGCAAGGTAAACAGCGCCATCTGCTGGAGAAAATTCGCCCTATTCAAGCACAAAATGTTTTGGTGTACAAATGCAGAATCATGACTAAGCTGATGTCTTTTTTTTAAATTTGTTATTTAAGTCTTGTGTGTTCAAAACCATCTCTCTCTCTCTCTCTCTCACTCTCTCTCTCTCTCTCTCTCTCAGTCATTGGTCAGCGTTCTGATCTTCACGGGCCACTCCGTGGTGTCTCCAGGTGTCCTACAGGATATGTGTCCGGGACCCCTGATTTTTCCGTAAGAGGAACAAGGAAAGAACGAGACTAGATGATATGGAGCAAAGAAAGGAAGGGAGTGAGAAAGGGAAGAAGGAAGGCTGGATGGATGTAGGATACTAACTAGCATGGTCGAAAGCAAGGAAGGATGGAATAATGGATGGAAAATAGAAATGAGGAAGGATATTGGTCGAGACTCTTTCCTGTGTTCTGGCCAAGAACATGAATTAATATGAAACCCATTCAATTAAAAAATATATATTTGTCCCCCCTAGATGCAGTTAAACGAACACAAAGCAAACAGCATAAAATCTTCATTTATGCTGTTAATGTCACATTCTTCCGCGGTCATGTGTTGCTAGGCAGAATTATGAGACTGCGAAGGTACTTTGAAAGGAGGAAAGCAGATGTGTTAAAAGCGGGAGGAGAACAGTCGTTGATCACGTTTGTTCCGCTTGGATTATTCCCAACTCTTTTCCACTTTTATTTCCCAGAAAGCTGCTCCTCTTTCCCCTGTCACATCAAGTTTTTTTCTCCGAGCACCTCAACCCCCCCCCCTTTTTTTTTTTTTTTTTGTCTCCCCCTCTCATAAATTCCCATGACGCCATTCCCTGAAAAGAGCCTTGCTGTGACTGAGCAGCTTGCTCAGGATCAGGGTTATGGTGTCTTAGTCAAGGGTTTGGATCAGGGTTAGGTTGGGATCGGGATGTTAGACCTTTGAAGTTTTGGGTCATCGTTAGGGTTTGGGTATAAGGGGTTAAAGGGTTAGGACTTGATTTTATTCTGGGTTATGGTGAATCGTTTTACAAATATATGTCACCGGTCTGACCTGAAAGCAGAGGTGGAGATACTAAAGGAGCAACAAGGGTTAGCGTTGAGGTGTTTTAGGTTTGTGGTTAGGGCTTTGGATTAGGATGAGCTCAGGAGTTTGTGTTATGGTTGCAGTGGGTTACGGGTTAGGGTTAGCATTTTTGAGTTAGTTGTAGTGAGTCAAGGTTGATGACATTCCCTAGAAAGGCTCTTCCACTCTGAATAAGATGCACAGACTGTGCTCATGTGCATATTCGCCAGGAGCGAGACGTGATTCCCGCTCATGGAAACCAGATGTGAAAGGGAAACATGGCGGTTTGATTTGAACACAAAACCACCCCCCCCTCCTCTTTCCTCTTCCTCTCTCTCTGTCTCTCTCACTCATCGCGACATCCACGCGTCATATTTCCTCACTGGGATGGAAAAGACGCCTCCTGTAGGGTCCGGCTTAAACCTCCCGTTAACTGGGCCATTAAAACGGGAAGCAGGAGAACATTCCGGAGTCCAGATGGAGACGCTCACCTCCTTGGAAAAGAAAACAACTGAGTGAAAGATGGCGAATGCTGTGGAATGCGCAGCGCAAGTCAACAGGGGCCACACAGTTTAGGGGGCCCCACAAACTGGGGGTTGCACAACCACGTGTCCTCTGTTGTATGCTAAGCGTGCTGGATGAACCCCAGCTGTTAGCTTAGCATTACTCCAAGGAATTGATGCAGTGGCAAACACCGAGCTCTAACTCCAAATCCACTTTTTTTTTGTCTGTTTAAGGCCAGAGAATGATTCATTGTCAAGGCGTTTGTTGGCCAATTTGTGGCGTTTATGTCAGCTAGCTTAATAACAGGTCCAGTCTATTGTTAATCAGGCTCATTGGCCCCACTTGCAGGCTAAACAAAGCCAAGTAGCGTTGAACTCACTTCTAAATATTTTAAAACTCAAATTCATTTTTTTTCAAATTGTGTTTTTCTACAGATTAAACCCAGGATATACATTTAAAGGTGCATACACAGTACACAGTTTGACAAGCTAGTTTGTGAAGCTAACAGACACGAACAAATTAATTATATGGAGACATCTCCATATATATATATA